TAACTTGGTGTATGGTGTGTATGCATGTTCCTGAGTATGACTGGGGCTTGTGTTTGCCATGGTACTGGTGTAGAGGTCAGAGGATAATGGTGGCACTGGGTTTCATCATCTACCTTATTTGAGGCAGGGTCTCTTTTTTGGTCTTCACTGAAGAGAATGCCATGCTAGACAGCCCACATTCTTCTGGGGATTTTCATCTCACTGCAGCAATGCTGAGATTACACACATGAGCTATCATATCTGGTTTTACTTGGGTCCTGGGGATCTAAACTGAACCCAACTCCCCACACTTGAGAAATAAATGCGTTGTCCTACTGAGCCACTACCCAGCCTTCCATCCCTTTTTAACTTTCATTTTATTACATCTTAGCTTATTTATTTTGTGTGCATGTGTTCATGCTTGTACATGTGGGCTGTGTGCATACATATGTGGAGGTCAGAGGCAGACTTTTGGGAGTTGGTTCTCTCCCACCATCTGCATTCTGAAAATTGAACTCAGGTCATCAGGCTTGGAGCCAGCTGCCTTTAGCTACCTTGTTGCCCTCCTCCTGCTGAAAACATACAGTGCCTTTAGCTACATCTTACCCCTGTGCTGCCACGGAGTAGCAGACTTTTTATTTTTAAAGATTTTCTTTTCTTTTTATTAAAAAAAACTTTTTATATATTACAGTTTATTCACTTTGTATCCCAGCTGTAGCCCCCTCCTTCATGCCCTCCCAATCCTGCCTGCCCTCTCTCCCTCTTTTCCTCCCATGTCCCTTCCCCAGTCCACTGATAGGGGAGGTCCTCCTCCCCTTCAATCTATCTAGCCTATCATGTCTCATCAGGACTGGCTGCATTGTCCTCCTCTGTGGCCTGGTAAGGCTGCTCCCCCCTCAGGGGGAAGTGATCAAAGAGCCCGCCACTGAGTTCATGTCAGAGACAGTCCCTGTTTCCCTTACTAGGGTACCCACTTGGACACTGAGCTGCCATAGGCTACATCTGAGCAGGGGTTCTAGGTTATGAACATGCATGGTCCTTGGTTGGAGTATCAATCTCAGAGAAGACCCCTGGGCCCAGATATTTTGGTTCTGTTGCTCTCCATGTGGAGCTCCTGTCCCTCTTTCTATCTCCCCCTTCTTTCATAAGGTTCCCTATACTCTGTTCAAAGTTTGGCTATGAGTCTCAGCATCTGCTTTAATATCCTGTTGGGTAGAATCTTTCAGAGGCCCTCTGTGGGTAGGCTCCTGTCTTGTTCCTTGTTTAAACCCTCTTCCTGTGTGTGCATGTGACTACAGAAGCCATTGGAGGCCAGAGATGTCATAACCCCTGGAGCTGTGGTTACAGGAAGTTGGGAGCTATCCTACAAGCAAACTGGGAACTGAACTTGGCTCTACAAGAGTAATACATGCTCTTAGCTGATGTACCATTTCTCCTACCCTAGGTGGGAACTTTTAGAAATTGTTGTTAATTTTAGTATACACAGTACTTCAGTGTTACCAAGCTTTTGATTTGGGACTAGTGCTCACGTTTATAAAGCCAATGTAAACAGTCTCCTCTTAGTCTGCATTTAATAAGCTACCTCTCACTCTCACATCCACACTCCTTTCTTCTGGGGACTGTGACAGATTTACCACAACCAGGTCTAGTTTTGTTTTGTCTTGTTTTAACTAGGCAAACTGGTGTGGTGCTACGGGACTATAATCCTGGAACTTGGAAGGCAGAATATGAGGATTAAGATTTTAAGGTCAGAGTGAATTTCAGACCAGCCTGGTCTCCCTGAGACCTTGCCTACCAGTCACTCCAAATTTTAAACCTCTGCAGTCTTTACCAGCATGAAGATGATGGTGAGGTGCAGCTGCTAAAACTGCTCATAATATGCTATGATTTGCTAAATTTAAAGATTCTCCCACTTTCCCTCTCTTCACAGGCTTCTCATGTCCAACCTTCCACTACATAGCCTTGGCTAGCCTGCGACTTGCCTGGACAGGCTTGCCTTGAATTCACAGAGATCTGGTCCACCTACTGCCGCCTCAGAGTGCTGGGATAAGAGACCCATGCCGCCATTCCCAGCCAAATCATTGTTCTTACTAGGTCTCACTCATCCTCAGCTGTGTGGTAATTCCAAGTGAGTGGACCCTGAGAGCATGAGTCCCCATCTCCTTCTTAGAATAGAAATATTTAATTTCATGGGGAATTTTTACTTTATAGTGACTCAGTATTTCTACAGATTTGTTTTCAAAATATCTTCCAGAAGGTGGTAGTATTGTGAGAAGGTATTGTTCCTTTCACAGATTTTTTTTCTAGCTCTTATATTCTCATCAACACCTGGGGGACATCCTTCACTTGGAGGGACTTAAACAGATATTCAGAATTCAAAGAGTAGAAGCTTATAGTAGGATTAATACAAATTATATACCTCCTTCATCCATTTTATAGAAGGCTAAACTGAGGTCCCTTAAGTAAAAGCTCAAGGCCATACAGTTGGCCAATTGTCCAAGGCCATATAAAATGAATTAAAACTCAGCCATTACTAAGTCCTAGCTCAGTGAAACTCTGTATGAAAAGAGCTAATTAATTAATTGTGTGTGTGTCTGTTTTTGCGTGTGTGCATGCTCGTGTGCATGCATGTGTGTATGTGTTTGTGTGTATTGAGGTCAGAGGACAATTAAAGGGGTCAGTTCTTTCCTTCTACCATATAGGTTTGGGGGAAAGGATTCAGGGTTTTAGTTCAGTGGCAACCCATCTCTCCAGCCTCACTTCTCAATTTGTTAAAGTTCAACTGATCAATTCTTTCCACAAACTATGGTTTTGGTATTGTATTGAAATATTCATCACTAAACCCAAGTGATATTTGCTTTTATATTTTCCTTTAGAGGATGCATATTTTTGTACTTTGCATATGGTTCTATGATGCTCAATTTTTATAAAAATGGAGCCAGTGCCCCCTTTCCTTAAAAGACCATTCAGACAGATACATTCACTGGAGCATGAACCCAAAGAATAATATTAGCTAGCAGGACCTCATAGTTCTAAAATTGATAGGCGTTTGCAATAGAAATGCAACTCCAGGTCTGAGGAAAATAGTCATCCACTCATAGCCTGACCTGACCAGGGCATTTCTATGGGACAGACAGCTCTGCTCCATGGGGTCACTGGATTGACCATTGACCACAGCACCTGCAGTTCATCAAAGCCAGTGACAGGTATGATGAGGGGGTTGGGAATGGTCAACAGAGCACTGCTTATGATGGCATGTCTATATACTATATTCCCAGACTCCGAGCTGCCAGAGGTATGGGATGAGCAGTCTCATTAAGAACCCCTGGTCTGGTGCACACTAAACACAATTTTATCAGTGGTTTCAGTCAAGACTTGATGGCTTTTAATCCAAATAATAAGAGTTGTTCAGATAATGTGTGCATCTGAATAGGAGCCATGATAGAGATCATCATATTTTGAAATACTACCCTGATTAAGAAAGAAGCAGAACTGGAATTAACAGGCAGAATTCACAGAAGCACAGAAGGTCAGTTCATCATACTTAAGAGTAGGCTGCCTAATGGCCAGTTTGCAATCACTGAACTAAATAAACAGAGCTCAGAGACTCTTTGAGAAGGATGTCAAAGGATGCTCTTTTTGCACTGAGGAGAGGGAATCAAGCCTCTGCCTCTCTCAGCTAACATTTTATGGAGCAAAGATGATCTAGCTCATAGTTAAATTGAGAGCTTCAAAAGCTCCAGAGACACAGGTAACTATGACATCTGATTCTATTTAAATTCAAGGAAAAAAAAACCTATTATAAGATGCATAAGTAGTACAATAAATTACATGTGTACCGAATGGCTGGACTTTCCGGAGACATAAAGTGTAAAAATTTCCCCTTGATTCTCCCATTCTCTCCTTCATGCATGCATTTAAACCTCTTTATTTCCCAGCACAGCCTCTAAGTACAAGACAGGCAGGGCACAAAGACTTCCTTGGGAGTCATTCGTTCAGTAAAATGCTCCAAAGAAACCCCAACAAATGGTGGGAATGTCTAGGGCCTTTTATTTTAGAATGTCCACCTACGAAGACAGCATCAGGCATGCTGGTGACCAAATGCAGGTAAGCATTTTAAACATCAGAACTGCCTCAGTCCTTGTTCAAGGCTCCACGGCTGTCTTGCTGCTCACATTCACACATGTGTTCCAGTTCTAGAGGAGACACTCAGCATGAAGAGCCGAGTTACACCAAGCACCTCGCTACGTTAGAGGCTATTCACCACGCTCGACTCTGTGAAAACTGATAACATATGCTCAGACGCACAATTAGATCAGTTTAGGCTTTGATCATCTATAATCCATAGATTGTGTCAGTAATGAATGTGTCAGTAATGAAATTTAAAGCCCAAATTAATTCAGTACATCTTTAAAATACTATACTAAATTGGTTTGTGCATTTATGTGGTGCCATGATTTCCACTCCTGGTATCTTAAATTTTGAACAAATGTATAGGTCCTGCTTTTTTTCCAAGAAGTCTTTGAAAAACCAAATGTTTAAACAAATGACTACTGATTCAGTCACTGTGGCCTTTGCATTTAAAAACTGAGTGTATTGACTGAAACTGAGAACCTTTACTGCTATTTTAATTCTTACTAGGAATTTGTTAGTTTCATAGAAAGAGAGAGGAGACCAAGTACTGTTTTACATAGTGTAAGGCATTCACCGTCCCAGCCCCACCGTCTGCAAGTTCTTTTTGGAGCTCTAATGTCATGTTCTCGGGATGAGCTAACTTTCTGACAGCTTCCAAGCTGTAGGAGAAAAACTAAAATACACTGAAATGATGCTGCCAGGGTTTCATTATGATGGTTAGTGCTTGTTTAAGGAAAGGAAACGGCTCCCCAAGGGGATGGTATTGGTTTAAAGAACTGAAGTTATTCAGCACTGATTCATAATGATGAGGAGCTTGGGGAGAGAAGGAAGAGAAGGATGGATGGATGGAAGGAGTGGGGGAAGGAAAACAGATTAAAAATACTTACAGGGACATCAACATATTTTGCAGCTGCTTTCACCTTAAAAGGGAAAGAAAAGAATAAATTATGAGAATTCTTAACTGATACCTGAGCACTGTGGTAACTGGTAAAAGGCAACACAAGAGAACTCATTGAAATACTTACAGTGAATGACAGAATGGATGAAAAGAAAGTGCCTTCATCATACCTCGACAGTTTAGACAGTACTCCTTCCAACACTGAAACAAACTGCAACAGAGTTCATGATGAGTGAGGAGAATGTTTCTGTGCATATAATCTAAGAGCAGGGCAGACAATTTGTAAATGCACACACACACACACACACACACACATACTAAACTGACAGCTATATTCAGGAGAACTTGTCATGTTTGTTCTATCATTGTGAACATGAGCTCCAAGATCCTTCCCCATTGCTGAAAATAATATGTTAATTTCTAAAAATTAAAAGTGGGAAAGAGAAGAGTTACTGTACATTTGGTCCAGGGTAGCTGTGAATGTAGCCTAAAATTAAAAATTTATTTAAAACTTTGCTATTTTTCTTTTTTGCAATTGAACCATTTTCAATTGTCAATTTTGTAGATGACAATGTCATGCTACAATTTCTCTAGTATTTTAACAAGCATTTACCGACAGTGTTAATTAGGCATCCAAGGACAGCCCCCTCTCTCTCTCTCACACACACTCCTGCAATCATGGATTGACCATTGGGAGTCGGATACCCCTGCACATGAATAAAGAAAGTCCTTCATCCAGTGTAGCCCAGAGGAGCCAACAGGTTGGACATTCTGATTTAAACCATAAATAAGTAAAATCATTTTTCAACTTTAATATAGACACTAATAAATTAAAATCATTTGAGAAATGTTTCACGTCTAAAACTTTTTTCCTTTCCTCTTCTTTCTTCCTCTTTCATGCTCTTCTTCTCCCTCCTTCCCCTTCTCTCTTTTCTGACTTTTGACAGGGTATTGTGTGTCCCATTCTGGCCTTGAACTTCCTTATATTGTCGAGAATGACTCTGAACTTCTGATCCTCCTTTTGAGTTCTGGGATTACAAGTGTGCATCACCATGCCCACTTTATTTGATGCCAAGGATCAAAACCAGGCATTGTGTATGTCAGATAAGCAAGCATCCTACCAGTCTGACCTATGTCACTAACCTGGCCCCCTCATTCATATGTGTGTGTGCTTGTGTGTGTGTATATATGTATGTGGATATGTATATATATGTATAGTGCATTTATATATGTCTATATATTCATATGCACATATGAATATATAGACTACTATTTATATATACTACTGTACATATTG